GACTCAGCACCCAATCCAGACTCTTCCCTCTACTGGGTGGCCCCTATGACTACAGACAACAGGTAAGTTCAGGATGGTTTCTCTTTTGTACCCAGGTTCATTCCAAATGTTTGCTACCCTACCCTAACGGGATTCTTTATGGCCCCAGCACAACTTCCTCTCTCTGTTTTAGGTATGCCCCTGGACAAACTTAACCTAGGTCTGACAGGTCACCTTCTAGAGCTCCTCTCATGATTAAGAATGCCACAGATGGCTGTGAGCTCCTTCTTGAACCTGCTGTCTGAAATTTCTAAACCCATTGTAATCCAAACTGGTTCTATTGGTAGTCTGATCTTATCTCAAGAACAAACTGTTCTCTACCTGGGCTTCAGAATCCTAGGTTCTTCTCAGAAGAAATTTAGAAGATGAACTTGACTTTACTTGGGACTTGGACTCAGACAGGGTTGAGTTTGAATCTGAGTACTGCCACATAAGATAAGTGAACTTGGAGAAGTACATGAATGTCTCAGACCCATTCTAGCCATCTGGAAAGTGAGGATAGTTAAATTAGAGAATATCACATGAGATTTTATAAAAAAAAAGTGTGGACAGCATTGTCGGTGTTGATAAATGTTTGTTTGTTTGTGTTAGGTGAAAGGATAGCTAATTGAATCAAGGAGTAAATGAATGAGCCCTTAAATAAACTGGCAGCCTGGTTAGGAAGCTAGATGCAACTCACAGGCAGGGTGTTTAAAGGTAGTCTATATAGGAATATGACAAAGATCCAACTGAGTAGGACACCACAGGAGGGAAGGATGAACGTGGCTTAAACCTGTCATTGAAGAGCTCAGTGGAAGCTCATCTCAGAAAGATTAGTGTTACTGATAATATTGCTCCCAATTCCTATAGGCATTTGCAGCATATGAAGCACAATTTATGTGTCTTTGCTTTTTAAATCTTCTCCAAATCTCTGTGGTAAAGGAAGACTTACTGACTAAGGCCAAGCAGTGACAACACTCATCATTCAGGAATTATTTATTTATTTATTTATTTGTAAAAGTTTATTTATTTATTTTGAGAGATGGAGAGAGACTGTGTGCAAGCAGGGAAGGGGCAGAGAGAGAAGGAGACAGAGAATCCCAAGCAGGCTCTGAGCTGTCAACGCAGAGCCTGATGTAGGGCTCAAACTCACAAACCATGAGAAAATGACCTGAGCTGAGATCAAGAGTCAGACACTTAACTGACCCACTCAGGCACCTCATTCAGGGATAATTTAAAGGAGTTTCCAAAGTGACCTCAACGAGCATAAATCTCTCCAAATCCAGCTCCAGAACTACGATCTACCACAGGACATTGTCTCAGGGATGGGTGGAGGGGGCATCCATAAGGAAGAGCATCCATAAAGAAGAAAAGAATAATAAACATCACTTGTTGATTGCTTACTTTGAGATAAATATTCTAATTGTTTTATTTGCATTATTTCGGTCAGTCCCGACAATCAATGAGATAGAATCTTTTTTTTCTTTTAATGGATTTTAATTATGAGCTGAGGGACTTTGAGCAAATTACTTAGTCTTTCTGAGACCCAGTCTTCAAATCTGTGGGGATAAAACCTACTTTATGGTACTTTCACTATAATTAAATGAGATAATGCACGCACAGTGTCCATGAGACATTGTTGCATTTGATGTTAATGTTATTGCTGTTACTGATTTTTTACAGTTATTTTTTGTCACAGTATGTTATAAGCAGAAGAGAGATTACCTATCAGTTCTGTATGATTCCAAAGTTCCAACTATTAATTTGAACACTAGCCTGCTCATTTTTATTAGCATTGTGAACCCTGATAATTCTGGTGTGGGGCTTGGCCTAGGTACTTTGACTACTACCAGATGTACAAGTCCTATGATGACCTGGTATTGATGAAGAACTATGAGAAGAGGTCATTTGGCTATGGTGATGGCAGTGGTAACACCGTGTACAAAAACTTCATGTACTTCAACTACTATGGCACACGTGACATTGCCAAGCTGAATCTTTCCTCCAACACCCTGGTGCTACGACGCCCATTGCCCAGTGCCACCTACAACAACCGCTTCTCTTATGTTGGTGTGCCCTGGAAAGACTTAGATTTTGCTGGTGATGAGAAGGGACTGTGGGTGCTCTATGCCACCGAGGAGAGCAAGGGAAACCTGGTTGTAAGCCTCCTCAATACCAGCACTTTAGAAGTGGAGAAAACCTGGCAAACCAACCAGTACAAACCAGCTATGTCAGGAGCCTTCATGGCCTGTGGAGTGCTGTATGCCCTACGCCCACGGAGCACCCACCAGGAAGAGATCTTCTATGCTTTTGATACCAACACTGGGCGGGAGCGCCATCTCAGCATCCTGCTAGATAAGATGCTGGAAACACTGCATGGTATCAATTACTCCCCCTTGGATCACAAGCTCTATGTCTACAATGATGGCTATCTGATCAATTATGATCTCAGCTTCCAGATGCTGAAGCATAAGCCATCAAAACTGCCAGCTGAAAAGTTCTCTTGGTTTCCTATTGCACCAAAGCCTGTCAAACCCAACAAAACATCTAGTCCCTGAGACCCCTGGGGCAGAGTATTGGGAGCAGCATATGTCCTCCTCCTCACCCTCCAGATGGATCACTCCCCACACCCCCCCACAAATGGCCATCAGTCCTACTGATTGAGAAGTGTTGATTATATTTTTATGATTGATCATTCTTTATAATTGACAATTCTGTATGACTAATGACTCAATCACATTAAAGTTCTTTTTAGTAATGGTCTAGGTGGATTTGATTGGGGTTTGATTGGGAAACAAACACCAACCCTAACAAGACACCTCTTTACTAGAAATCTACAATTCTAAGAAGATTTGTAAAACAAATCTCTTATTCTGTGCTTTGAAAACTGTGAATCCAACTCCTACAATTATAAAATTCTGTGAATTAGGCTTAGAATGGTAAGTCTTAGGTTGAGAGCATCTGGTACCAGTGCAGAAGACCCCAAACAGCTTGTCATTAGAATAGTATGTAGAGGCCCCCTTTCTTTTTTTTTTTTTTAAGATTTTTTTAATATGAAATTTGTTGTCAAATTGGTTTCCATACAACACCCAGTGTTCATCCCAACAGGTGCTCTCCTCAATGCCCATCAGCCACTTTCCCCTCCCTCTCACCCCCATCAACCCTCAGTTTATTCTCAGTTTTTAAGAATCTCTTATAGTTTACCTCTTTCCCTCTCTGTAACTTTTTCCCCCTTCCCCTCTCCCATGGTCTTCTGTTAAGTTTCTCAGGATCCACATAAGAGCGAAAACATATGGTATCTGTCTTTCTCTATATGACTTATTCCACTAAGAATAACACTCTCCAGTTCCATCCATGTTGCTACAAAAGAGGCCCCCTTTCTTATCCTCAACCTCTTGCAGGGTAGCTGGGGAGAAAAGTGCAGCATGTTGGTGTGACAATCAATGTTTCACTGTCCTGAATCAAACTCACTCTGAGTGCAACTAGGAGAGAGGTTTAGGCTTGAGTTCCATTCTAGGAAGTGAGCAACTAATGGCTGAGCATCAGACACTCCACCTATTACTTATCTATCTGCATGGTTCACTTCTTTTCCATGCAATGGGATGGAATGTTCAAGATTTCAGACCCCAAAGTCTTCACAGTCACATGAAGGATACCAGAATACTTTATACACCCAGTCTCATGCTTATACTTCCCCATATGTATATACATTCGCAAATATACATCCAATCAGACATGTATACAATATTCCATCTACATAGACATAAATGTATATTTTAACATATCTATTAGAAAATTCATGTGCTACCCAAATAAAGATCAAGCACCATCCCCTACAGCTGCATGGAACTGAGAATCTGTTCTAGTTGCCCTGTTAGGAATTTCACTATGAATCACCACCCCCATCACCTCTTGATTTACAGGCATCTCTCCCCCTAATGCTTTGACACAAAGGTGGGCACCAAAGATTGGGCTAAGACATTGAAACAAATCTTTTTAAAAGTTCTGCTATAATGACATAGAAAAGACCATAGAAAAGACCAAGTGAGAGATGAATAAAAAATACTTTGCAAGGAAGGGCTAACTCACCTTTAATTTTAAATGGCCCTCAGAAAACCTCCCCAATGAGCCCCGCTCCTGCTTCTAGAATAGAAGAAATCTTTCCCCACGTGGGAGCACTCTCAATTAAGTGCAGAATCCCTAAGCCTAGAGGCAGAGAAAAACATGACCTCCTCTATCCCTTGTGAACTTTGTTCTTGCTCCATTTTTCTTTGTAAGGCCTCACTTTTTCAAGATCACTAACAAAAGTGAGAAGATCTTTCCTACAGGAAAGATTCCATTCTTACAGGTATGTAGTTTTATCTATGGCTTCAACAAACTCAACTTTCCATTATAACAAGCCTATCATCCCAACAGGGACCCCCACACAGGACCACAGAGAAACATATCCCACATAAGCAATCTGGTCTCCCCCCCTCCTTTTTTTAATAGTTCCATCCTAAGAACTTTGTCCCCTGTTTTCTGGAAAATGACCTTTTTAATTTTATTATGGAGACCCGGTGTCTCCCACCCCCACACAAATATGTCTTATTGCCCCAGCTAGTCCTTGGAAAGGCTGTGAGACTAGAGTTGACATCACAATATCTCTTTTTTTTGAGAGGTTGTGGTATCTGTGGGTGGGGCAAAAGGGTGGGGCATCCCTGGGTGGAGTCATCTTTACTTAGCCCACCTTGTACTAAGTATGAATCAGTAGCCACCACAGGCCTCAGCTGGGCCACATCTAGAGACCTGGGGTGGGGGGTATAACATCGTAAAATACCTGGCCCCAGCCTCATCACTCATCCCTTTTTGGGCATCAAGGAAACCAGCCTTTGGCCTGAGAACACGACACCTGAGAAGAAGGCCAGTGGAAACATTTGTCTGCCCTCACCCCTTCTGCCCCAGCTTCCACCTCCTCACCATCTGTCCTCCCACTAAGGTCCATGCCGCATGTCATCTCTCAGACACCCAAGATGGCCCAGAGTGGGCGTCCTTCAGGTTTGCCTACAGACAAGTACATCTCTCCTAGTGTCACCCGAGTGATAGTGAAGACAGCAGGCAAGGGGGAGGACTTTATGATAGCGGACAACACCTCTGTGAGGCAGTTCAAGGAGAAGCTATCTGCTCACTTTGAGTGCCAAATGGACCAACTAGTGCTGGTTTTCATGGGTCGCCTTCTTAAAGACCATGACACACTGAGACAGAGGGGCATCCGAGACAGCCACACCATTCATTTGGTCATCAAGTCCAAACATAGGTCCAGATCCCTAGCCCATTCCTCCCAGAACCTGCTGACCAAAGATCCCTGCCACCGGGACAGAAACACCAAAGGAAACAGCAGTGGGGTACACCAACTTGCCAGTGTGAGTCACACCCCAGTGGAATCGGCCCTCCCTGTGGAGCCTGATGCACCCAAAGTGCATACCCAGGATCTGGAAGTGGGTAATCCAGATTGCATAGCACAGATGCTACAGAATCCTAGCATCCAGCAGCTCCTGTCCAACATGGCCCCCATGAGACAGTTCATCTCAGAACACCCAGACGTGCAACAGCTGATGCAGCAGAACCCAGAAGTCTCCAACCTCCTTGACAATTCTGAGATCCTATGGCAGACTCTGGAGCTGGCCAGAAACCTTGCCATGATTCAGGAGATAATGCAGATCCAGCAACCTGAACAGAATCTTGAGCATCCACTAAACCCACAGTCATACCCGGGCTTGGAGACAATGCCAGGTGGGGACAATCCCCTGGGCCGGAGTTATGCTGATTGCAATGACCACATGCTCAACAGCTTGCAAGATCCCTTTGGGGGCAACCCTTTCACAGCTCTCCTGGAAGGACATGTTTTAGAACCAGTTCAGTCCTCACCCCTGTCTCCACTACAACCCCAGGAACGGAGGGACCAGCTCCCACAGCTCCCTACAACCCGAGTCATCTATACTAGCTCCTGTGGTTTATCCTCCATCACCTCAGCCAATGTTGCCCCTGACAAGGTGAACCATACTTCCAGTGCCAGTACTACCATTATCTCCACCAAAGACCAGAGTCATAACTGGGCCATTCAGCAGCCGGCTGGTGTACCAGCCTTACCTAGCATAGAGCTTACCCAGCAGCCCCAGGCAGAGGACAAAGATGCCACCACCTCTCGAGATAGCTCTGACCAGAAATTAAAGGATGATCCCCAGCTGTCGGATGAGCAGAGCAGCTCCCAGATCACAGGAAGCATGGTGCAGTTGCTTTTGAATAACCCCTACTTGGCAGCCCAGATGATGTTGTTCATAAGTATGCCCCAGCTGAGTGAACAGTGTAGGCAGTAGCTGCCCACATTCCTGCAGCAGACACAGCTTTCCGACATGCTTCTGGCCCTAGCCAACCCTAAAGCATCACAAGCAATATTGCATATGGAGCAGGGTCTGCAGCTGTTGGCCACAGAGGCTCCTGTTCTTCTACCCTGGGTTGCACTCTATCTATGGGGCCTGGGTTGGCTTCCTTCACCCAGCTGCAGCTACCCTGACACAGTGCCCTGGGCCTGGGATGTGCCAGATATGGCTGAACCCAAAGGTCCTGAGTGCTGCCACAAATCCGGAGCAGCCCGGCAGAGGCTACAATCCTTAGCTGGAGACTCTTCCCACCTTCCACAAGCCCCTGAGATTCGTTTCAGCCAGCAAATGGAATCTCTCCAGGCCATGGGATTTGGGAACCACCATGCCAGTCTGCAGGCACTCATCGCTACTGAGGGGGACACCGGTGCTGCTATTCGCAAGCTCAAGAGATCCCAGGGATTCTAGCCACCATGCCTACTTCTGTGCTTCTTGTTACCTGCCTGCTGACCCATTTGACTACATCATCTGCCCCTTCCACCTCTTCCAATGCTTGCAGCCAGGAAGCATTGGCCATGGGTAAAAGATCTGTCAGTAAAATGGCTACTCCCACATGCCCCCATCTGAGGTTTGGCTTTGTTTCTCTTGCAAGAAAAGCCACCGTCTGTGTGTGATATCCCTGTCTCATGATGCAGACATGAGCACACACACACACACACACACACCATGCATATAAAGCACAGATATCATACCATACTCTCATACCCAAGAACGTGTATGTGTAGCCCCAGACAGGTGTGCACACATACACAAGGTCACATGGCCAAAGATTTACATATAAAGGCACACACATTCAACACACTGCACAGACAGCCATGGGCATGTGCAGCAACACACAAATACCTAAAAACACTACACTGACCCACGTGTAGAGGAAGACAGTCATAACAAAAAGGGAAAAATACTATAGATAGACACAGATATTCAGTCATAAAGACTTCCTCAAGTTTTCAAGTCAAATTGTTCAAGTCTGAAGGTGGGAGAAGAATGGCCTGGTGGGTCAGAGTAGGATAAGTCCACATTTCATCCAGGTCTTGGTAAGTATTTATCCTCCCAGGAATTTCTTACTAATTGTCACAATCATAGGACTTTTCTGGACTGTTACCATTGTCTCTTTAACTTAGAGAGGTACAGCTGCTTACCCTCACTGTATATTGCCATCACCAAAACACAGCCTCAAGGAGACATGGTACCTTCCAAGAATATCATGTCCTTCAGCATATCTAATGTTCATAACTTGAGTTCTCTGTAGTTAGCCAAGGTCCTATCTCCCCCTCTCCTGGCCTCACCAAGAGCATCCTAGCCAATTGGCATGTAAACACTTGTGGCAATTATTCAATCATTTAATAAGTTAAATGTTGTTTTAGGTATTGAAGAAATAGCAGTGGCCAAATAAAGTTCCTTTATTTATGGGGTTTACTTCTGTGGGATAAGACAGTACTTTACCTAACTTTTGAATAAGTGCTATGAAGAAAAATAAAGCAGGATAAGGTCTTCTACATAGAGGGCAATCCAGGAAGGCCTCTCTGGAAGGGCAAGAGTAGAGAAGAAACCAGAAGGGATTGGGAGAAATGAACACACACTCCCTTGGGAGAAGTATGTTCCAGACAGAGAGGATGACTTAGGATAAAAATGTGAGGTGGGAATATTCTTGATGTGTTTGAAGAATAACAAGGAGATGATGTAGCTAGAGTGGAGTGAATAAAACAGTGGGAGGGAAAACAGGACATCAGAGAAATCAGGAAGAGCCTTGTAGATCTGGTAAGGACTCTGGATTTTACTATGAACGCAGCGGAAAATCACTGCTGGATTTTGACCAAATGATGGAGGTGTTTCAGTGGATTCTCCGGCTGCCGAGCGCAGAAAGACCATGGTAGAGGTCCAAGTAGAAGTGGGAGCGCTGGTGCAGCTCCCTTGCAGTGGAGCAGGTGGGAGATGGTAGTGTCTGGAGCAGTGGAGATGGTGACATGTATTCATATTGTGGTCTGCAAAGGGTCACCACAGAATTCCGTGTGCTCCTCACAGACCACCTTCCTCCAGCCCTGTCTCTGCCATCAGCGAGAGTGAAGGAGAGCCCACAAAACTCCAAGTACTCCTGTGGATCTACCAGAATCCCACTCTTCCCCTTCAAACTAGGAAAAAGATCGGTCTCAAGAAAGACATGACCACCAAAATGGATTTTCTACTTTCCCATTAAGATGCAGTCATCCAATCAATTAGTCTGATTAAGCTTTATACCCTGTTTGCCTCAGGTTACATGAAAAACCCAAGCTGTTTGAGTCGTCTTTCTGATTCTTGTCCCACTATGCTCTGAAAATCCCTCAGCTGACCCAATTTTCCACTGGTCATCGATTCCCCACACTTTTCCACCCTACCATTTAGAACTCATAATTTAGCAACAGCAAACCCTACTGTATCTACAACCTTTTCTCTAAATGATCCCCACCTTTTCACCATGACTGAGATCTGGCTCTCCACTGACAGCCTGCATGTTCTCTGCTCCATCCTGTTGTAATGCATAAATTGTCTGTGGACCCAAAGCAAGCTCTCCCCTTGGGCACTGATCCCAACCTCTCCAATCCATTTACTCAACAGCTGGCTTTTTCAATCATCTTCTCTTCCTTCTGTGTCATTTTTCCCTCATTGTGTTATATCCACCAGAATAAAAGCATGCTGTAACATTCTCAGTTTAAGAAAAAGCAAAGCAAAAATGTCTTTATCCCCACATGTCCACACAGCCATCATACCCATTCTCTTACCTGTAATACTCTTATTTAATCCATTTCCTTTCCAACCCACTTGCTTTGAAACCCCCTCCAGTCAGTGCCCCCTCCACTCTTCTAAACTGGGCTCATCATGGTCCCCCCTTTTTTTTGGTCAAATCCAGAGGTCAGTTCTCTTCCTTTATCTTCCTGACCTACTGGCATCATCTGACACTGTCACTCTCTCCGTTTTGAAACTCTTCTTCATTTGCTTTCTCTCCTTCTCTCCTTTTTCTGACTTGATGCTTTATTTCTTCTCAATTTCTTTTGTAGAACACATCTAATATTCCATATTTGAAAATATGTAGTGCCCATGCCTTGGTCTTTTTACTTCTATCTTGTTCCTATACTCACTAATCTTATGGTTCTAAATAGTCAGTGCTGGATAACTGTGGACTCCCAATAACGAACTCTCTCCCTTCATGTCCATTTGGGTATAAGACATCTTGAATGTATGTGACAATGAACTCCGGATTTTCTGTTTAACAACTTTATTCCCTGGTCTTTTTTTTTTTTTTTTTTTTTTTTTTTTTTTTTTTTTTTTACATCTTGGTAAATACCCAATTCATTCTTTCAGTTATTCTGGGGAATAACAATAATCTTTTTAGAAGTAAAATAAAAACTTCATGTCATTTTTGGACCCTCTCTCATGCTCTAGATCCTGCCCATCAGAAAGTCAACATTCTGAAAATATATAAAAAATTAATGGCTTATGAATCAAAGAGAATACAGAAACATCAAATGCCAAGAAGACCAATTCAGGGTGCAGCTGAATTTGGTCTTAACAGTGACATAGGGGGCTAAGCCTTTCCTAATTGCCTAATCCAGAGCTGAGGCTCCACACACTACCTACAGGTTGTGTGGAAGTAGGATTCTTGGCCTGAGATGGAAGGGTCAGCCCAGGCCCCTCCCTATGAAGAAGCCAATCAAGAGAAAGGAAATAGAAGAGGTAAAGGTGGAGGGGGTGGTTTGGAGTTCCTGGGGATACAGAGCACCTTGGAGAGGTCTCCAGAATCCATTGTGTGAGGCTGTGATGTCAGTGCTGAGGTCACAGAGGTCTCCTGATGGAGTGGGTTCCGGCCCAGAAGGCTTCAGGGGTGGCTGTTAGCAAGATGAGGGCGGTTTGGAGCCCTGTATAAGAGGAAGGACGGGGCCACAGCTGAGTGGTATGTATGCCCCGACCCAAACCTTTCTTCCTGACTTTGCCTTTCACTCATCAATAGACCTCTTTCTCAGGGCATTTGGTCTCCTCTCCCAACCCCAACACCTCTCAGACCCATAATCCTCCATAACCATCCCATCCTGAGGACCTCATTGACCCTTCCATGCAGACCTTCCTGTGCTTTTACCCTGAGACTGCAAGCCCTCTTCCTGCTCACCTTTCCTACTTTCACCACTGCTTGAAAGGATGATGTTGGTACCCCATCCCCACCCCCCAGCTGTGTCCCCACAGACCTGGGCCTCCTGCTGCCTACCATGGCCAAAAGCGGAGAGGCCCTGCCACAGGGCAACCCAGCGCTGATCCCGGACCACCACCTCATCAAGGTGACGGTGAAGACACCCAAAGACAAGGAGGATTTCTCAGTTACAGATACTTGCACCATCCAGCAGCTGAAGGAAGAGATATCTCAACGCTTTAAGGCCCACCCTGATCAGCTGGTCCTAATCTTTGCTGGCAAAATCCTCAAGGACCCTGACTCACTGGCACAGTGTGGAGTACGAGATGGCCTCACTGTCCACCTGGTCATCAAGATGCAACGCCGCACCATGGGCACTGAGTGCGCAGCTGCTTCAGTCCCTGCCCCAGCCTCCAGCCCTAGATCATTCCCTCAACCAAGCTCCATGTACCCAGCAGATGGGCCACCCGCCTTTAGCTTAGGTGTTCTCACAGGCCTCAACGGGCTAGGCCTGACCTCCGGTAGTTTCCCCGACCAGCCAAGCTCACTGATGTGGCAGCATGTCTCTGTGCCTGAGTTTGTGGCTCAGATCATTGATGACCCTTTCATCCAAGGTCTGCTGTCCAACACAGGCCTGATGCGCCAGCTGGTTCTCGATAACCCCCATATGCAGCAGCTGATCCAGCACAACCCTGAGATCGGGCATATTCTCAACAACCCCGAAATCATGCGGCAGGCATTGGAGTTTCTCCGCAACCCAGCCATGATGCAAGAGATGATGCGTAGCCAGGACCGGGCACTCAGTAACCTGGAAAGCATCCCTGGTGGCTACAATGTGCTTCGTACTATGTACACGGATATTATGGACCCGATGCTTAATGCTGTACAGGAGCAGTTTGGTGGCAATCCCTTTGCCACTGCCACTACTGCGAATGCCACCAGCAGCAGCAGCCAACCTTCGAGGACAGAGAATTGTGACCCTCTCCCCAACCCATGGGCTTCCACATATGGGGGCTCTGTTGGCAGGCGAGGCAGGCATCCTGGGGACCAGGATGTATCCGAGACTAGAAATAGGGTTCCCACCATTCTAGGTAATATAAGGCTCTATGACTATCTTCAGCAATTACATGAGACCCCCCAGTCCTTGGGAACCTATCTGCAAGGGACTACATCCACTCTCAGTCCGAGCCAAGAACCACCACCACCAGGAAACCGAATCCTCCCAACTTCATCTTCCTCCCAGGAACGTGAGTCAGGCCAGCCTCTCCCTAAGGAATCAGGAGCCATCAAGGGAAAGTCCTCTTGCCCATTGTTCCTGAGATATCCCCCAGAGAGCAGTACTGGACAAGATAGAGGTCAAGGTGGCACAGGGAATGGCTCCACTGGCCATGGCACCAACATGCCTGATCTTGTCTTAGGGCTGGGGCATTCTGCCAATAGGGCCCCATTCGTCCCTTCATCAGCTTCCCCTATGCCAGCTACCCCTGGGATCCCCGAGCATGCCCGGCTGCCACCGGTAGCTTATCCAAGATCTCTGAGGCCCACCAGCGTGAACCAGGTCCCACAGCTGCAGGACGAGATGCGCCGGCAGCTGCCCCTGCTGCTGCACCTTCAGGCAGCCATGGCCAACCCTCGTGCCATGCACGCGCTCCTACAGATTGAGCAGGGTCTGCAGATCCTGGCCACTGAAGCACCTCACCTCCTACTGTGGTTCATGCCTTGCCTAACAGGGCTGGGAAGTATGGTAGGCGGTACAGAGCCTAGAGGGGGTGCCCTTATGCCTGAGGATCCCCCTCTAGCTCCAGCTCCTGAGGTACCCCCAGCACAGGGCTCTGTGGAGCTGGGCCCTCATTCCACCCCTTTCCTCCAGATGTGGCAGGCTCTAAGTGGTGCCAATCCCCAGCAGATGCAGCCCGAGATTCATTTCCGGGTGCAGCTAGAGCAGCTGCGAGCAATGGGTTTCCTGAATCCCGAAGCTAATCTCCAGGCCCTCATAGCCACTGGGGGTGATGTGGATGCTGCTGTGGAGAAGCTGAGGCAGGCATAGGAGACCTGGTTGTTCAGACCATGTCTTTTCCTCTGTGCCCTTTCCCCATATGCCACTACCCTAACTCCCCCGATCTTGAATGCAGCTGCAGTATGAACCAAATCCACTATGATGCCCTTTACTGTGGAGACAATGTTGTTCCAGAGTCAATGAGGAAGATTTGGAGCCAGAAGCAGGGTGGGGGTGCTATGAGTGACCCAACCACGCCCGCCACTGTACAATCTTGGGGCCCCAGTCTGCACTCTGCTTATGCCTATCTGGAGATGCAATTACATCCAATCTCCAGTGTCTGCAGTTGCCTGAGTCTGATTCTTTGTGGGTTATGGGTAAAGGGGGGGATATGGGACGAAAGGTAGTAATAGGAGCTGTCTCTGCATGGGTGGGGAGCGGGGCTTGGAGGGGAAGATCAAAAGTTTGAAGTTCAAAGATTCAGAGGCATAGAGAACAAAGGAGCGTGAGCTGAGGCCTTCAGCTTTCCTGGTGTCCTTCCAGAAGTCCCCCAGACTTTGTGTCCTGTAGAAGCTGCCACCATGTACTTTGTTCTTTAGAGCATTCCTGCCACCAGCCTGACCAGGAAGTGGGCACAGTTTCTTATTTCTATCACCCCTGAAGAGCATCCCACAGGTGGCTCTCACTTTCTGGATTTGATGCTGATTCCTGAGTAGATAGGGAGCCCCAGGATTTCAGGCTAAGTTCCAAGATTCCCTGATCCCACCAAGATCACAAAGTACTGTCCCTGGTGGGCACCCCGGATGTTGTCTTTCTTGCAGCTCAGAAATGGAGGACTCACCCGGTGCTCAGCATTCTGCTCAAGGTTTGAAATTCAACGTGAGAGTCACGATCCTCTTTCACGAGGTTATCGTCTGGTGGCATGGAGTGTTTAAACTGTAGTTGAAGAATACTTATTATATATAGTACAAACTATGATAGGTGCTGCAAGGACCAGAAGCTGTTAAACAGCAAACAGGTTTGATCTTGTATAGGGAGACAGGCAAGGCTCCATGTGTATGTGCTCTAAGCTGACATCTTAAAAGTGGTAAGAATGAAGTAGGCCAAAATGTGATGGGAAAAGGGAGAGCATTCCAGCAACAGAGCCATTGTGGACAAAGGTACTGAGGTGAGCTGTGCACAACACACAGGAGGTGCCCTCGGCATCTCACACTAAATTCTTGTTTGCACTCAGAAATGCTGCCCGTTACCCGTGTCCTTCCAGGGGAAGAGTGATACAGTTCATGAATCAAACAAGCAAACCATACCTCCCCCACATGAGTGAACATTCTGGAGAAATGCACCAACATACAGTGCGTGTTCACACTTAAATCCATCACTACATGGCCACATTTGTGTACATGTGCTCACACATACACGCAGAACAGTCTGCTAAAGTTTCATCACAGAATGAAGGTGTAAACACAAACATTAATGTGACCTTCTTGTCAAGACAGGGAAACGGGTCTTTAACAGAGGGGACCACTATGGTAAAAGTGGCCGTGGTATGTACTTAAACATCAGAGACCTGGCATTGGGGGTTCTTTAGGAACTTGGAGAAACAGAACCTCTGCCTGGGACCCAGGATGCTGTACTAACCAACCTGTCTTACCTTTTAGCGGCCAGCAGGTGTCAGCGGTGAAATGAACTTTGCAACTTCCTCCCCCTGGTTTTGGGTTCAGTCTCTAGGTGAAGCAGGAGGCTTCAAGCCTCCTTTCTACCTCCTCTTCCCTCCCCCTCAGTTGGGCAGGAGTTGTCCTGATCAAAGGAACTACTAGGCAGGGTACTAGGCAGGCAGGGGACAGTCTTTGCCTGTCTGTCCCCTGTAACTAACAAGGTGGGTGCTGTGGACTGCCTCTGACCTGGAAAGGTATACAAGGCAATCTCTAAGTGGAATCCCCAGAAGGCTAGGTAGGTAAGACAAAAAGCCTCTGGGAAAGATATATGCCTTTCATTTGTCTTTCATTGGGCCAAAGGAGGCACGAGAGCTCATTTGGAGTAGGTCTCAGGGCAGATAGGGGATGACAGTCTGGGTCTAAAAGTTCTGGCTAAGGAGGAGAGTATTCATTTAATAGGCTGTTTCCTGGCCATATCTTAGGAGAACCCTGGACAGTGGATTGGGTGTTTGGAGTATTTGCTGTAGCCTCATCAGAGACTGAACTCATGGACACATGTCCAGCTCCATGGTGGTGTCCAAGAGGAAAGGGGTTCCTGGGGCAGGGAAGGTCCTTGTCAGCCGCCACCTAGAACTCCACCTAATGTACGGTCTGGCACATGGAAAGCAATCAAAAACATTGAATAAATGAGTGAGAGTGATGAGTGAGGAAAGGAGCAAGAAAATGAGAAAGAGGTTAGGGAAATGAGGCATACAGGGATCAAAAGAGGGTACCACGGGATGGGGCTTGGGAAAATGGCAGCCGTTGGAGTTTGGGAAGAGGGAATCCCATCAGGCTGATGTTACTGAAGGGGCAGCCCTCCTGAGATGTCCCATTTTCTCCCTGCTCTGATTCCTCTGTTAGTAAAAGTCCAAGACCAAGTGATATGCTAGAAATAAAAAAGAACAAACACCCCAAAACCCCCCCAAAACAAAAAAAAAACAGCATTGAAGCCTGTAATGCTGCATCACAAATAGCCAGCCAGGTAGGTGGACAGCAATTTAAAAGGAAGGTGTTCTTCAAACAACAGAAAGTGTTTTTATGCACCTGTTCTTTTTTTTCCTTTAGATACTCCCCTAATACCTCTGTCATAAATATACGCACACATTTTTTTCTAGATATTTTAGGGTTTCACTACTTAATTTTAAAAGTTAATGTTTATTGAGGCTTTCCAAATGCCAGCCCTGTTCTGAGCTCTTCCTATCTGAATCCACACAATAGTCCTTTAATGCAGGTGGTGTTACTATCCGCATCTTTCAGAGGAGAAAAACTGAGACTTAGGGAGAGGGGAAAGTACATTGCTTAAAGTTGGGCAGCTCCCGCGTAGCCGAGGCAGGATTTGAAATTAGTCTATTCCAGAGTCCACTGTACTCAGTCAAGTTAATTCATGCTTTAATCCCTACCCCCCAAAATTGCAAAGGGCAGGGTTTTGTGGTATTTAATTGGAATTTTTGCCTCCCTGCAAATAACTACACTGGACTGAATATTTCCTTTGCCGTATCTTATATGCTTATACATGTGTATTTATGGTGTTTTTAAAACAATCTACTAGTGCCACTCTTCTTAAATTGTTTTAACTTTGAAATATTTTTTAAAAAATTTTTAGTGGTTATTGTTGAGAGAGAGACAGAGTATGAACCGGGGAGGGGCAGAGAGAGAGGGAGACACAGAATCCAAAGCAGGGTCCAGGCTCTGAGCTGTCAGCACAGAGGCTGACACAGGGCTTGAACTCACGGCCCATGAGATCATGACTTGAGCCAAAGTCGGACACTTAACCAACTGAGCCACCCTGGTGCCCCTTAAGTTTAAAATATTTGATAACAAAATTTTCAATGCTTCACTCCTTATTCCTTTGCAAAATACCATTGTCTAATTTTGTCTCTTTTTCTTCATACACTTAGAGTAGATGTCAAATTTCAGAAAAGGCCAAATGAGATCTTGATTGGCTTTCCTCTACATTATGAATTAGAGGGAATCGAGAGTTTTACAATAGCGCTCTTTCCTTTTAGAATAGGGAATGTGTCCATTCAAGTTTCCTTTGTTTCTCTACAAAGAAGGGTAGTTTTCTCTAAGTGCTGGTTAACCGAGGAGGAGCGGTTGGGAGCAGACAAAATGGATGAACGGGATTAAGGGGTATAGAAACCTCCAGCCATAGAATAAATAAATAATGAGAATGTAATATACAGCATAGGGAATGTGGTTAGTCATATTGTAATAGCATTTCGTGACATAATGTATAAAAATACCAAAGCACTGTAATGTGCACCAGAAACTAAGAGGATATTGTGTGTTGATTATACTTCAACAACAGTAACAAAAGAACTACAGTTTCTTTATGTAAGTCCCACACATTTGGGTTTATTTAACTGTTATATTTTTCTGATTATTTTGAGTGAAATTTTTTCCATTATATTTCCAGGATGGATATTATTCTGATGAAACTGCTGCCACTGGTTACATTATGAATCCTTATTTTACACAGATTTTTTGCTGATTCCCATGCAAACAACTATATGCGTCCTTGAAAAACAGTTATAAAGCCTCTACGGTTCTGTTAAGCCTCTTTTCTAAAATGTAATTTAACTTGTTTTCTCAGTTTAAAAACAACATAGAAGTACAGTTGATCCTTGAACAACACGGGTACAAACCATGAGGGTCTACTTCTATGTGGAATTTAAAGTTTTGTTACGAGTTGAGAGCAAAAGCCACGAGCCATTTATTTACAACTGCCTGCCCCAGTCTCTTTGAGACCCAGTACAAGGCAACTGGCACAGAAGTCATAACGGCTGCCCTCTGAGTACCTTGGGTGGCCCCCAAAGGCCAGGACCAGGCTGGGCTGCGGGTCATCCATGTGTCCAAGGTGCCTCACGGGCATGAGGCTGGGCTGAAGTGGAGGAAGACGCCCAGAGGGCAGGGATGGCACTGTGCAGGGAGTCCTGCACCCCGTGTCCCCTATCCCCCCTCCCCCCGCAGAAAGGCCAGCGCACTCACTTGCAGCGGCAGGTGCGGATGGCCAGAGGTGGGTGGCACAGCTCCAGGCTGTTGTTGCTGTCCACGGTCACCCCAGGGGCCACTGCAGAACACTGCCGTCTCCGGGCCAGGCCCATGGCTCCCTCCCCTGCCCCAGCCCTACGTGACCAACCACTTACAGACAGATTTTCCAATAAATATACATACAATACTGTTTTCTCTTCTGATTTTCTTAATAACACTTTCTTTTCTTTAGCTTACTTTATTGTAAGAGTACAGTATATAATTCATACACAAAATATGTATTAATCTACCGTTTATATTATCAGTAAGGCTTCTGGTCAACAGAAGGCTAGTAGTAGTTAAGTTTTTGGGGAATCAAGTTCA